GTCTTGCCCCGCCCCGTCTGTCCAGCGGCTGTCTGTCCGGCACTGCACACACCGCAACAGAGGGCGCTCCCGGCAAACAAGTCCTGCTGGAGGCCAGGACGAGCCGGCCCTGTGCCGGGATGACTTCCCCGGCGCTTTCCCTTTCCCTGCTCCCATCTGGTACCGTCCCTCGGCACCCTGGCCCCGCTGCGGCTGCCCCAGGGAGCAGAACCGGCCGGAGGGAAGGGATGCACACACCTGCCCCAGCCCCACCTCGCAGGGATGGGTTTGGCATTACCTGGGGTTTTATGAAACTTTTCTCTTTTGGAAACCCGGCGCTGCAGAAGTGCAACTTTCTGCTTGATTTACCCCATCCCGTCGAGCACCGCGTCTCACCCCAGCGAGCGGGTGCTTGCTGTGCGCTTCTTGGGCTTTCTCGGAAACCAGCAACCCCCGGCGGAGTTCCCAACACCTCCAGTGCTTTGTTACAGCTCTTGCCAAGTGTTAAATGTTGCTGTTGTCGTCATGGTGACGACTACATCTCATTTTGGTTTTAATTAAAGAAAACCTGCGGAGGTTTAGCACGCACAGACTCCAGTCTCGCAGGGAGCGTGGAGTAGCTCACAGCGAGGATGACATTTTGTAGTTCTTTGGAAAGACAACTGGTTTTTTTAACAAGGAGCTTTCCCAGAAAGCAGCTCAGCAACCCGGATGCCCCATCTCACGCTGGGCTAATGCCATTGTCACGCTGCCATCCAAAGCCGATTCGCAGGGTCCATTGGTAGGGCGAGGCTGGAGTGTAAATCACAAGTAAATCAAATCTAGCCTGCCTGGCTCCTGCCGGTAATGTCTGTCACGGCAGAGGTTACAAGAAAGCAGAGTTTCTCCCGCACCCATTTGCCCAAGGAGAAACATTTCCCCCAAAATACTCTTCCCAAATTCAGACTCTCAAAACCCGCTCAGTGTTAGGCTAAGTGCAAACATCAACTACCCAGAGATCGTCCCACGTGGAAATGGGCACAGACCACCACCGTCGCCTCTGCCGCAGCTGGATCCCAGTGGATCACCAACGCAGATCCCTGGGCTGTGGTCGATTCAGCAGGCTACATCCGCCCAGCTCCAGGCGGAGTGCAGGATGTGTCCCGTCCAGCCCACCACAGGCAGTTTCATCCCTGCCCACAGCCCCAGGCCGCTCTGCTCCATCCAGCTCCTTCCCTTCACCTCCTCCTCAGCCTCAGTCCTTGCCCAGAGATCCCCTTAGCTTGCCCACACGGCTACCCTGCTCGCCCTAACCTGGGAGGCTTAAAATAAGGTAAAGCCCGGGCCACGGCCTGGATGCACAGAGGGGTTCTGAAGGAGGAAGAACGCAAAGGAGAGCCAGGGAGAAGACACAAAAGCCAGGCAGAGTTTCCTGGGACTTCTCTGACCCTCTCCAGAGGATACGTGCTCTGCAATGCTGCTGAAGTTATTTAAGATACCGCACAAATGGCCATTATGAGTAGGTCTTTGTGCTCGAGGTCAGAGTGTGCCCTACAGAGCAGCACTGTGCCGTAGCTCTGCGCCCGGCTCAGCTGTAAGGCTGGATGCCCTTTGAGCATTCGCTACCCAAGCGTGCCAACCTGCGGCTTCCCTGATGGAGTGCGCGCTGAGACCAAAGAGATAGGTCCTGCCCAGTTTGCCTGCCACCGCATCGTCATCAACCAGCTCTAAAGAGTTAAAAATTATTTTGCATTACAAAGAAGCGCAGTTTCTTTAAGTTTCCAAGTCCACTGAGATCGAGTGCTTCAATGGGACATTTTCTTTTGATTTGAAGCTGGCCAAATGCGAGTAATTGTAAACTGGCTGGGGATAAGCCTCGCTCCTGGGGGAGCTGCTGCCACGTGCCGTCTGGAATCTCCATCCAGAGCCTCTGCTGCAGGGAAAGGCAAGCGTCAGCCACCCACACCGTGCTGTCAGGGGTCCACGTCCCTCCCCACGTGGGAGACTGGATCCGGGAAGGCTGGAAAGAGCGAAACTA